TGTTACTCTGAGCAACGTGTCTGAAATCATACATACAACATGGCCCTGGATTCCACCCTGATATCACAGAGCAAAGACTCGCCATTCCTGAGATGATCCCTTTGCTCTCTGTTATCAGGATGGAATCCAGGGCCCTGTTTGTAAGTACTCTACTGCTGAGCCACACCCTCAGCCACCACATATTTCTGAAGTCACCACCAAAAGGAGTGGTTCTTCATTTATTCACTCAGGCAGTTTTCCATTTGGGGAACAATGAAAGTAAGATAGTTTTGAAGTGGTTTCTCACAGGACAAATAGGCAGAAGCCCAGAAATTACAGAATCAAAACTGGAAGAGAGACCCGAGAGAACAGTTTTACTTGATTTTAGCTGGGCATGGTGGCACATGCCCATAATCCCAACAACTCAGGAGGCTGAGGCAGGCAGATTGCAGTTTGAGTACAGCCTCAGGAGCACAGTGAGATACTATCTAAAAAAATAGAAAGGACTGGGGTGTAGACCACCCCTGGGTCCAATCCCCAATATAAAACCAAAATAAGACAAAAAACCCAAAACAAAATCATGAACTTTTACAAGCTCTGAATTCCTGCTTTTCTTAATGCTTTTGGAGACCAGCAACACAACATCCACATTTCCAGGTGGCAAAGTTGGCAAGAGCCAAGAAGCAAGTACACCCCTGTTCTTTCTTTTGGTGGTATTGGGAACTGAACCCAGGGTGCTCTACCACTAAGCTACATTCCCAGATTCCCAGTTCCCAGTCATTTTTTTTTTTTTTTGAAATGCTAAGTCACTGAGGGTCTCTCTCTAATTTGTTGAAGCTGGCCTTGAACTTGTGATTCTCCTGCCTCAGCCTCCCGGAGTTCCTAGATTACCAGCATGATTGGCAAGCTGCACCCTTTCAATGAGACACAAACTTTTCTGCTCATCCCAGTCCCCGGCACTTATCTTATACCTGAGCAGCTGCATGCATATCAGCTCCCTGGCTCCTATTTACAATGCATTAACTGGGGCTAGGGTTGTGGCTCAGAGGCAGAGAGCTCGCCTAGCATGCATGAGGCACTGGGTTCAATCCTCAGCACCACATACAAAAATAAAATAAAGATATTATGTCCACCTATAACTAAAAATAAATATTTTAAAAAATCCTTTAACTCAGCATTATCAGTAGAACTTTCTACAATGATGGAAATATTCTAAATCTGCTATCTTTAGACTAATCACATGTGACAACTGAATACTTGAAATGTGGCTAATTTTATCTGCTGGGTGTAGTAGCGCATGCCTGTAATCTCAAGGACTCTGGAGATTGAGGCAGGAGTATCCCAAGTTTGAGACCAGTCTCAGAAACTTAGGGAGACCCTAAGCAACTTAGTCAGATCCTGTCTCAAAAAATAAAAGGGGCTGAGAGTGTGGCTCAGTGGTAAAACATGGGTCTGGCATGTATCAGAGCCCTGGTACTCCCCGGCCATTTTGTTTTTATACTGGGGTTTGAACCCAGGGGTGCCACATCCCCAGCCCTTTTTATTTCATTTTTATTTTGAGACAGGGCTTTCCTTGCTAAGTTGCTGAGGCTGGTCTCCAACTTGCAATCCTGTGATTATAGGTGTGTGCCACCATGCCCAGCCCCTCAAATTTTTTAAAATATTAAATATAAAAATGAGGCTAGCTGATCCTATAATGAACAGTATGGCTTTAAGCAGTTGAGACCCAGATAGAGACAATGAGTCACTCAGGGCCACAAAACAAGTTAGTGATACTATCAGCATTAGATGAATTTCTGGTCCTTTTTTCGAGCAGTGGGACACAATTCAGACTGCCTGGGGTTACAACTTGTTGCCAGCCTCATCCATTTCCTGCTGGTCTTTTCTCCCATTTCTCCCAGCTGGTGGCTTTCCACATCACATGGTGGTTAGTTACCCTGCTACTTAATCTTTTCTCTTTTTGGTACTGGAGATGTAACCCAGGGGCACTTTACCATTAAGCCCAAATCCCCAACCCATTTTTGCTTTTTATTTTGAGATGGGGTCTCAAACTTGGGATCTTCCTGCCTCAGCCTCCTGAGCTGCTGGGATTACAGGCATGTGCCACTGTGCTGGGTTTCTCATTCTTTTATCTTGTAATTTTCTATGGAATATGACTTTGATACTTTCTCTGGCTCATTTTTACTTGATGTTAATTTCCCTAACTTGTAGGAAGGTGGCTTTTTCAACTTCAGGGCTCTCTTTCCTGTGTTTGGAGAACCAGGGGCTCCATTTCAATCTCTTGGCCCTGTTCTCCAATGGGCTCTTATCTGAGCCTTCTTTGCTTTCTCTTGCTCGTTCTGTTAGGCTTTGCTTCCATTTTCTAGTTGTTCCACAACATGATCTGGGCCCTACCCTGGAAGGACTCCTTGCAGGAATCCATCAGCTAGCACTGCCTGGACCCTGGATGGTGGCTCTAATCCCTTATTCAATGGGTGACCTTATGTGAGTCGCTTTGACCTCCCTGAACCAGCTTCC